CCACTAGGCTGTTGAGTGATGGACTTCATGCCACAAAGCTCTCAAGGGGTAGTGTTATGAATATGTTTCATAACAAAGAAATTCACTAGAAAAATTGTAAACCCTCACTTAATCATTTACTCCTTATCAAAATTCTATCCTCTCTCAATAAAAGAGCAAAAGTGAAAATGCAGTAGGAATAATTTAAGAGATGTCAAAATTTGGAGCTGGAGCAATTGATCAGGGGTTAAGAGCACCTAAGATATGTGTTGAAAAATCTGAGTTTTTTTTATTAATTCTTTCTAAAATATGAATCCCTATCCCCCCCCAAAAGATGATAGTTTTCAAATTCCTAAGAAGACCAACTCAAAATCACTTTTTCCAGTATTTTCTTTATTAGATAGATAGATTTCTGTTTGGGGCAAGTTCAAATCCCAGAACAAATCTAAATCCAAGTCCTTATGTTCCTGTGATGTAGGATGTGGGCCATGCCCATTACATTGTTTGGCTTTCACATATATTCTTGGGAGCAGTCTAACTATTGGATCATATATGTGCTCTATCTTCTATCAAGTGAAAACTTTATACTGATTCATCTGTAGTTGGAATAAAAGGAAATCCTCTCCCACTTCTGTCAGTCTTTTATAAAGACAGCTGGGGAGAGGGCTCAATCGATAAAGTGAATCCGTGGTAAGCATAGGAACCTGAGTCTGCTCTACAGACCCCACGTGAAATGCCAGGCATAGTGATGCATGACCCAACAGTGCCAGTGAGGTGGAGACAGGAGGATCCTTGGGTTTTACTGACCTGTCAATCTAGCCAGCAGGTGAGCTCCAAGTTCAGTGAGAGATGTCTCAAAATATAAGGTGAGGGTGACTGGGAGAGACACCCTACATTGACCTCTGACCTCCATACAATGTGCATGTGTGTACACATACCTACACCACTCCCACACATGGATAATAGCTGTTTTTGGCCCACTAAGAGTGTAGGTTCAGTTAGAGATGAGAGGCCTGAACTTTGCAAACCCTATGGTGTGAATTCCCTTTTAATGGCTGTGTACCCAGAGACCAAACAACAGGACATTCAACACAGCAGGTTTGAAACCTCTCAGAGAACACCTTGTTATGTTTTCTTGACCTCAAACTGTATGGGCTATTTTGGTAACTACAGCTAATGTGACCTCTGCATTCTAGGTCTCTGTCACAGCCTCCCAGTTTACAATGTATAATCTTCCTGTCACCTTCTCAGTGACTTCTAGCTAGAGTTTGCTTGCTCATCCACAGTGACCTGGTTTCCTTTGAGCCTTGTTTACTCTTTGTTGAGCGATGATCCACCTCAGGCCTCATGAGGACCATGTGACTTTATTTATTGATTTTAGTTGCCAGTGCTTCCTAGATAATCATCTGAAAACATCTGCATTACAACACTAGAGGGTAAATGCCCTCACAACCCTCTTTTTTTTTTCTTTTTTTTTTTTTTTAGAGCCTTGGTGATTCAGAACTGCCCTGATTTCTAATCCTTACCCTTACCCTCAAATAAATGGCTTTCATTTCATTTTTTTTTTCTGGTGCCAGTATTGATCTTAGTAATATTCAGAGACTGGGAGCACACAACCATAAGATTCAGCTGGGCTTGCCTGCTTGTGACCAGATCAATTTATGAGTATGTCTGCTATTTTCATTGTATTTCCCTTCATTGTTTATTAGAGTGTGGTCCAGTTTGGTATTAGGTCACACAAGACTAAGGCCAGTAACTGTAGAAATCATCTGATGACTTTATAGACTTAACAGAGACTCATCCAAGAACCCAAGTTTCCTTGTAAAACCAGCTCACATTTGTAACTCCTAAATCAGGAAATTTTGGTATACTTTTATCATCAAGTTAAGAACACGTTTGAAACACACTAGGGCCATGGGTAAAGCTTTATATACAAACACACTGAGAATTATCTATTAGCTCCTTGGAATCTGTTATACAGAAGAGAAGCAAATTCCCTCATGGGGGAGGAGGAGGGCTATTAGGCCCTCACCTGAAACCTCAGCCAGCCTTCTTGCATCTCCCTGACACCTGTATGACACTCTGTTCTAGCTGTGCATGGTCTCTTTGTTCTAGGAAGTAGAAGTTTACAGAAGATGGGAGTTAGCTGAAGGAGGGTGCTCCATCTGTGCAGCTATAGTGAAATCAACATCCAAGCCGATGTGAGGCTTTGGCGATGTGATTGCTTTGACGTCACTCACATACCAGTAAGCAACCCTTCATTTATGTTCCTGTAAGCATGTCCAATAAACTTACTAGCTCATCACCAAACACTGGTAGAATCATTCTTTGGTCTGTCAGTGTCCTAAGGTGAGAGGCACAGATGTTTCTCAGTGTGCCGTGGTGGTCTGAATGAGAGTGACTCCATAGGCTCACATATCTGAACACTTCATCCTCAGTTGGTAGAACTGTTTGAAAAGGATATAAGGTGTGGCATTATTGGAAGAAGTATGCCACTGGGGGTGGGCTTTGAGGCTTCAAAAGACTCCTGTCATTTACAGTTCTTTCTGCCACCATACCATCTAGACTCTAACCCTCTGACACCATAAGAAGCTCAGGTCTTAATTTGGGTTTCATTGCTGTGAAGAGTCACCATGATCAAGGTAACTCTTAAAAAGAAAAAATTTAATTGGGGCTGGCTTACAGTTTCAATGGATCAGTCCATTATCATCATGGTGAGAACCATGGCATCATGCAGGCAGACATGGTGCTGGGAGAGCCAAGAGTTCTCCATCTTGATCCAAAGGCAGCAGGAGACTGGCATCTGCAGGCAGCCAGGAGGAAGTTCTCTTTTCCACACTGAGTAGAGCTTGAGCACTAGGAGCCCTCAAAGCCCTCCTACACAGTGACACATTTCCTCCAGCAAGGTCACACCTATTCTAACAAGGCCACACTTCCCACACCAGGAGGCGGGGGGGGGGGATGGACACCACTTCCCATGGGCCAAGCATAATACTGAAACCACCACAGCCCAATTAAACACTTTCTTTAATTGTCATGGTCATAGTGTTTTGTCATAGCAATAGAAAAGTTGACTAAGAAAAGTTAACTAAGCCTTCGTAGAATTTGATGGACAGAATCATATTCTCAATGTCCCACAATTTCCCAAGCCAGTCTTGATGTGATTTGTACAGCACAATAACCTTCTTCATGCTCTGGACCATGTAGAACCAATTTGAACAAGATATTGTCACAGTGGTTTCTCTCAAATTGGCCTCTAGCCAGACCTGGTGCCATTTGCCTGTATTTCCAGCCCTCAAGAGGGCTGAGGCAGGGGAATTCCAAGTGTAAGCCCAGCCTGAATAACATAACCAGATCTTCTTCTCAAAAGAACAAATGAACCAAATGAATAAAAAGAGCTATAATCATCAATTTTTTTCCCTAAGGGAATATAAATTGTGTGTGTTTTAAATAAAGACTAAATAATGGTCGGATAGACTGAACAAACAAGGGTTTAATAGAGGGACCAGTAGAGATCACACCACCACAGGGCAGTGTATTAAAAACACCTTTTATTTCAAAATAATCTGGCACAGCACTTAGGTCATATAACATCATGAAAATGTCTTTTATATTACTAGTAATTTCAGTATTTATATTGTGCTTGTGAGGTGCTCTGAAATGGTTTCTATATGTTCATGGACTTAAGCCTAAGAACTTTCTATCTTAATTTAAATTTAGAACACTGTAACTACAGTGGGCTTAAGTATATTATGATCAAAATAAGTAGTTAAATAAAAACTATAAAAGGAGCTGGGTGGTGGTGGCACACGCCTTTAATCCCAGCACTTGGGAGGCAGAGGCAGGCGGATTTCTGAGTTTGAGGCCAGCCTGGTCTACAGAGTGAGTTCCAGGACAGCCAGGGCCACACAGAGAAACCCTGTCTGGAAAAACAAAACAAAACAAAACAAAACAAAACAAAACAAAACAAAACTATAAAAGGAAATCATGTGAAAACACCAGAGGACAGTGGTAGGACATTTCCATTATGCATCGCATAGCATTCTTAAATATGTAGCCATCGTTTGTATCATCCACTAACACTGTGGTGCTCCCAGTCAGTCTGGGAAGTGTTAAAACTCATCATGGTAATCATATGGTGACTGTGTTCACTGTCACCACAGATGGATATAACCTTAGTGACATATTCAATATGGCAAGGTCAGGAGTTTTTCCTTCTCTATCCCCAGTAGATTTTTCTTTAAAAATCATATATAGCATGCACATTGTGCAATGTGTGTCTTCAACCACCCATTAACAGCCAGTGATTTCACAGTTTGATATCTCTCTCTCTCTCTCTCTCTCTCTCTCTCTCTCTCTCTCTCTCTCTCTCTCTCTGGTGTGTGTGTGTGTGTGTATATATGCATGTGTGCACTCATGAGGAGGCCAGAAGATATCCTCAAATGTCACTCATTTTCAGGTGCCTTCCACACTGCTGGTTTTTAGACAATCTCTTTGGGGTGGAGCTCTGTAATTCAGCTAGGCTGACTGGTCAGTAAGCCCCAGCTATCCACCCATTTCCACCTTGCCAGTGTTGGGATTGTAAGCACATGCCGCTACACCTGGCTTTTTCTGTGGCTTCTGAGGATAGAACTTGGGTCCTCATGCCTGTACGTCAAATGCTGTACCAACTGAATCATCTTAGCGTCCTAATTTATCAATGTGTGCTCACTTGAGTTATAGATTCACATTTCCACTGCTCTAGAGGACATCTCTATGTGAACATTCAAAGTCCTTTGAAGTTGTTCAACCTCAAGTTAACTCTCAACCCTTTAGCTAAATCAACAGTGTTGTTCCACTGAACTTCTCTGGCTCGGAACTTGGAAACCACTTCCACTCAGTTCTTTTTGTCACTTTCACATCAGGGGTCAGTTAACTCTGCCAATTCTGTGACCTCTGCCATTGCCTCAGTAAATTCTTGCACCATCTCCCAGCTGACACCTGCAATCCTGCCTTCCTACATCCCCCGCCATTGGTCACCTTCCACACCAATCTGGATTAAAACAGGACGTGTCTTATCTCAATGGGAGTTCTCCATTTACTTGTGTCTGTTTACGTGAGCTGGACCGGTTTGCTATACTGACATCTCTGATTCCCTAGACGATTTTATTGAAGGTAAATGCTCTGTCTCATTTATTTCTGTGTCTCAGTGAGTTTCTAACTGCTTACTGTATGCAATTGTTGACAGGGCTGTACAGAGTGGCTAAGAACACAGGCATTGGAATTGAACAGATGTGTGTTGAATTTCTGTCTCCTCTTCTATTTTATTGCCAAATGATGCTAGACAGTGCTTCTGAATTCTGTCTGCATTAGAGTTTCTTTAAGAGTATATTAGGATTATACAAGAACTTTATTGAAAGGGCTCAGGTCTGTCCTTCAGCCCAATTAAACTGAAATACATAGAGAGTACAGCTTGGGTCCTAGAAAGATGTCATACATAGAATACGCATTACTTTAGTAAATTTACAGGTGGTTCTAATCTACAGTTAGGGTTGAGAACTACTCAGGTGTCTAATTCAAAGGGTTTAGGATTCATGACGTAAGAGTAAATTTAAGGGCTGCTGAGATGGTTCAGTAGTATGGTGCTTGCCACGGAAGAGTGAATGAATCAACCATATAAAACCTGGGGACAGTGGCATGTACCTGTAATCCCAGTCCTGAGAAGGCAGAAACAGGAGGACCCCTGGGGCTTGCTGGCCAGCCAGGAGAGCCAATTTCATGAGCTTCAGGTTGACCTTGCCTCAAAAATAAGGTGGAGTGAAAATGAGAGACACCAAATATCACTTCTTGGCTCTACACACATCCACATACACTCATGCACACACACACACACCCCACATTACCTGACACACAATACAAGGCCAATCATGATGCTAATATACAGTCTTCAGTTGTATCTTTTTCCATCTCTGATTAGTATCCTCCTTCCCTCTTCTGTCCATTCATCCTTGAAACTCTGCCTTTCTGCTCACTCTGGGAACATACTGAGTTCCCAGCTATCGTATCTTCATAGCTGTTCTTCAGGCTGCCCTCCACAGATCCCTCACACAGTTTTCAACTCAGACTTGAAATTGAATTTAGTCTCCAAGTATCTCTGCTCATTCAAGGTACATCTTTTTAGCATTTGTGGTTTGAATATGCAGTATCTCCCCTGAGGCCCACATGTTTGGACACTGTTTCTAGCTGCTGGTGGCATTTAGGTAGTGGAGCCCTGCTGGAGAAAGTTGGTTACTGGGTTGAGCCTTGAGGCTTTATAGTTAAGTCTCATTTCCTGTCCATTCTCCAATACCATCAGCAGACTTATGCTCCTGTCCCCTTGTTTTCCTTGCTGTGACAGACTGCAGCCTTTCTTATGTCACGATCTAAAATAAACTCCTTTCCTTTCAAGTCATTTCCTGTCAGGTATTTAGTCACCGTGATGAGAGAAATAACTAACATTGCTATTGCATATCAATTTAACATTTATTGTGGTTCTCTTACTAGACTGTAAGCAGCAAAAAAGAATTTGTCCATTTACTTTCTTCCTAAGGCCCAATGCCTGATGTCTGCTAGCTGCTCATGATACAGTTGTAGAAGGGATGAATGAACTAAGAAATGATTTGTCCTATAATCTCAAAGAGGTAAAATTTCTTTTTAGGCCCCTTAATTATATGTATCTGTGTTAGTCTGTTTTGTTTTGCTTGCTATAATAAAATACCTGGGACTGGGTCCTTTTTATAGAGAAGATTTTTTACTTAGCTCATAGTTTTGGAAGGTCAGAGTCTAAGGCACTTGGCCAGGCTGGTTGAGCCTGAGGAGGGCCTTCTACCTATGAGACAGTATGGTAGTATAGAGGAGACATATGTGAGAGGGCAGGAGCTTGCTAAGAGGCAGGAGGCTTGCTCTTTTAATAACAAACTGCTCTTTGATAATGAAACTACTCATACCAGTCATTACAATCACCCCATTCATGACAGTGGAGTCCACCTTGCATAACTGCTGTTTATTAGGCCACGCCTACCTCTTAAAGGTTCTAATACAGTAGTTGATATACCCATACTAGGGTAGATTTCCTTAAACCTGCCATTAGAGAGGCTATAACCAAACAAAAGCAGTATTTCACATTAAAACCTCCAGGTTTGGTGATACAGGCACATGATCCCCAGGACCCAGCACTTAGGAGGCAGAGGCTGAAGGATCACTACAAGCTCAAGGCCAGCCTGGTCCACATAATGAGTTTTAGGTCAGCCCCAGCTACATAGTGAGATCTTGACTCAAATATGACTACAAACAAACAAACAAACAAACAAAACTACCATAAAAGAAAGATAACATATTTTCTAGTATTTGGGGTTCCAGTTATTGAATAGAAAAACCTGCCATATTCTTTGGTTTTAATATCTGGATGCTTATAATTTGGGTAAGATTTCCAAGTGCCAGGTTCTCAGAAACTTAGAATTAGGCTTACTGAAGTACCAGCCCACATACAGCCATTACTGTTAAGTCTGACAGTGTCTGCTAGCTGCTCAGGCTGCAGTTGTAGAAGAGATAAATGAACTTGTAAATGATTCATCCTATAATCTCAAAGAAGCAACATTTCTTCCTGCTTTGCTTGCTTTACAGAAGTAACTGAAGCTTTTAGAGAAGTAAGAGCAGTCTGGTGACTTCTCTGGATGTTTGCTTATATTTAGCTACAGTGTTTATTCTTTCTAATTTGCCCAGTGGTCTCTTTCACTGAAAGATCAAGCAATAAATATTATTGGGGCAGGGCAGTGGCAGAACTATCAAATCACTGATATTCCTAGCAGTTAAAGGGACTTTAAAATCACTGGGTTCACTATTTCACTTAATTTCTATAAAAAGAAAAACCTATATACGTATATATAAAAAACAACTGGACCTGACTTCACATATGGTGTCAGTGCTGAAACACAACTGAGGTTTCAAAAAGTCTTTGCCAGCATTCCAGTGGCACAGAACCAACTTCAAAGTAAGCCAAAGTAAATATGATCTCACTGCCCTCTTAAGTCATACCCTGACATCAGTTTGTCTTGGATTTTAATGTTGCTGTGAAAAACAAATGCTTGGCAAAAGGATTTGAGGGAGGATGGGCTTATTTTGGCTCCCATTAAGGAAGGACACAGGCCATCACGATAGGCAAAGCATGGTGGTGTGAGGTCACACTGACTGAATAGGCAGGAAACAAACGGGGAACTGAGAGGAGTGTGGATGCTCAGAGAGTGTCCGTCCTCTTTTTTATTCAGCTCAAGACCCCAATGGGGCTGCCCACTTCCACATGCTGCTTCTTTCCGGAAATATCTCTAGAAACATCTTCTCATACACCCAGAGGTATTCCCATGGCTATTCTTAATCTCACCAAGTTGACAAAGACAATTAACCATCCCGTGTGTACTTTTATTTTTCCTTATAAAACTCTTCATCTGTGCAGCATAATTAGCTTTCAATTACTATGCGTAAAAACCTGCAGGAATTAAATTTAAGAGCTAGACAAAAACCATTAGTAATACATGAAAAGTCATATTAGTACATGGTGAGACTTCTGGTCCAAGTTTAGTTTCTCTTATTTTTAAGAAATAAATGTGTTGATAAAATGGCCAGAAACCGTTAAAATGCATCTGATTGTTAGTTCAAAGTAAAAGAAAACAAAGGCATTTAACGAAATGACATTCTCTTGGTAAATTATAGCAGTTACTTTTGGCCCATATTTCCTACAAAACTCTCCTTCAGACCAATGTAATCAGACTACAACCACAATATATTTTTGGCTAAGCCCCGCAAAAGATGATAATATGGAACAGCCCAGTAGGAGGAGGTAATCAAGAAAGACTTTGGTATTAGCCTTTAAAAACACTGTAGAGGAATATAGTGGTGGGCAGGGAAAATGATCAAAATACATTGTATACATGTATGAAATTTTTCTTTGAAAAATATGAGTCCTTGAGGAGTTCATACAATGTATTTTCATGTATTTACTCCCTACTTTCCTCGACACTTCTCCCAGATTCACCCTCCACTTCCCCACTTGAACTTCCAAGTCCTTAAAATTTTCAAGGAAAACTTCTCTATACCATTTTCCATCCAAAACAACAGTTCATGTGCACAATCTCCAAAGTGCACAATATCCACTTTGTAATGACTGGTTCCTGTTCTAAAAGGAAGGTCTTAGCTGGGCGTGGCGACGCACATCTTTGAACCCAGCACTGAGGAAGCAGAGGCCAGCAGCTCTCACGGAGGCCTGTCTGGTCTACCTGGGTAGTTTCAGACCAGCTAAGGCTACATAGTGTGACCCTGTCTCAAGAAGGAAGTGCTTTAATTAAAAGCAGATTTTGACAGTTAAGAGGTGATAAGGCTTTGTGTTGCTTCTTCTTTGATGCGAATCTCTGGAGAGCCTGGCTGATGAAATGAGCTGCCTTGAATCCGTCTTCAGAAAGGATACTGAGGCACACTCCAAGGCGGGAAGAAGTTGCAAGCAAGAACTGCAGAGCCAGTCTTCGGGCTCGCAACTGCGGCCCACGCAGAGGGTGGAGTCTCAGGCTGCGCGTGCGTGCGCGCACGATTCCCTCACTCCGCCCACGGAGTCCAGGCACCCGTCAGAACCCTTGACTGCCGAGGCTACCAACAACAGCTGATTCCGCAGCCTCTCATCCCAGACAAGATGCCCGCCTCCTTCCAGCCCGGAGTTTCCCCGCACACCGGAAGTCCTTTTGCCCCGTCTCCGTAGAGCGGAGACAGTGCGCCCAGCAACAACCGGAAGCTCCTCTGCCCCTACCGTCAGCGCGTAGCGCCCCGGCCGCGCAGGCGCAGTGCGGCCCAGGCGGAGCTGTGGGAGGGGAGTAGGTCCGGGGGCTGGTCCCTGAAGATGGCGGAGGCGGGGGTGAACTGGGGGTCTCCCGGCAGAGCTCAGGTGAGCTTATATGGAGGGGGACGGCTCGAGGACGGCGGTGGCTTTCGGGAGGAGGAGCTGTTTATGCTTTAACCTTGCACGCTGGATATTCCTCCTAGCAGGTGTTGGGGGATCCAGGACCCGCAGGTGGGGCCTGCTGGGCGAGGGGTCCCGGCTTACCTGGAGAGAGGTCAGCGAGATCTAGAAGGGGACAGCGGCCCCATAGTGGAGC